AGATATGTCGAATCAGGGGTGGAAAAATTGCGACGGTCATGTTCGACTCTGAATTAAGGTATTCAGTTATTCAGTTGCTTCTTATTTATGATATAAATTATTAGTCTGAAATCATTTGCTCCTTAGTTTTTGTTTGTTTATGGTATGTACCATGTGTTGATAATGGAGTTGATATACAAAGAGAATTAGAGCATGTTTGGTGAAATTTGTAATTGTTTTAGTTTATAAGTATTTTAGCTTTTTAATATTATTTATATTTCATAAGTTTTAATTTTTTTAAAAAAAACTTATATTTTTTTAACTCTTTTTTAATTTTAAGAAGATTTTAAAAAATTTCAAATTAAAACTTTTTATAAATTTCTTTTTAATTACTTCTTACTTATTTTTTATTATTTTTAAAAGTAATTTTAAAATTTTTCTTTCAATAAAAATTTAAACTTATAACTCATAAACAGTATTAAAAAATTAAAAACTTCAAAAAACTCCACCAAACAGGTCCAATCTAGATATAGGTGAACATACAATAATCGAATGGAACGAATTCGAACTTTTTCTTTTCTTTTTTTTCCTCAAGCAAAATGGAAAAGGCTTAATTGAGTTTGACATGTGGGAGCAAAGTCGTAATTCATGTTTTTTATTCTTGATTCCACCTAGAGCTAGCACATGGCCGGTTCCAACTCCTTATTAAATGCCTTTTATTATTAATTTATTATTTGAAGACAATTATGAGAAGAGAAAAAAAAAAATTAGGATGCACTGTTTTATTAATGTTCTTGAAATTTTAATTGGTAAAATGTCTTGATTTTTTATGACTTTTGTTTCTCTCTCATTTTCCATATAAGATTTTGGAAATTTTGAAGGCAATTTCGTAGGTGTGTGTGACAGGTTGTGAGGGACGTGGATTTTCCAGGCGAAAAGGGGCAGATGCATAATTTGAAACGCTAAAAGACCAAAGGCTGCCATTGAGACCACCTGCAAAACAACTTCTGTTGTTCCAATCCAAGGTACAAGACAATTTTTAACCAATTACCTTGGTCCTCTTTTCCCCATCTAAATACATTACATTATAGAACTTATCGATTCTAAATATCTGTGGATCATGTTGCGTGATGTTCCCACACAAGCATATTCAGTTGGTTACCACTTGGTCAAAATTTATAGTACAGTGTGTGATTAATTGTCCGCAATTTTGCCTTCTCTTTACTAAATGATAATTTCGTAGATGTATTGTTATGAATCTTCTTGGAGGTAACCATGCGTCCTTGCACAGACGCTAAGAATGTACTTTAACTTCACCTCATGATCACTGCTGTCTTCAATGCTCATCTTGTTTTGTAACTGACTCTTGTGGAACAAAGCTGCATTCATAGATCTTCCCTAGGTCATAGTTTTAACTCCCTGTACTGTTCTATATAATGTTCATTACAATTCCTCAATTTGTTTCCAAGCCAACGATTAACAAGGCTTGTTGCCTTCCCAGGCCTACTACCAAATTTTCCATAATTTTGTGCAGCCATAATCTGGTACAATCCATGGCATCCACATCCATAACCATGCCCACCTCTCCAACTTCTACGGCAACAAAAGATGTTTTCAAAGAACGTAGCGGTCTTTGCCGATCACATTCTGGCATAAATCTTTACAAGAAAGCTGGCATCCGGAGGTCTTACTCAGATAACGACCTTTGTTACTCTGTCAACCGCATTCGTTGTGAATCATCAAAACCAAACCTGAAGAACAATCTGTCTGTTGGGATCTTCTCGTTGCAGATATCTAGCTCTATAATTCCAGACTCGCTCAAATCATTTCTGTATCATCCAGAGCTGAATAAGGATTTGAGTATAGCTGACAAGGATGTGAATTTTGATGAGAATCCTGCGGAAAATGATGAAGAAGTGAACGAAATTAAAATAGCAAACTGGGTGGATATGTTGTTAGAGATTCAAAGTCTCTGGAAGCTTAGACAGCAAGAAGAGAGTGTAGATGGAGCTGAGATTTGTGATAGTGAGAATGCGGTTTGGGATTGTGATGATAATGGAGATGAGATTGGTTGTGTTGTAAATTATGACTCAGAAGGAGGAGGAAGCAAAGAGATATATGATCGTGAATCCTTCTCGAAATTATTGGTCCAGGGACCGTGGTCTGATACCAAGCTTTTCTCTCAGCTGGCCTTCTTATGCAACATGGCTTATGTGATACCAGAGCTCAAGGTGTGTACTTTTATATATTGGTTATACATATTGCATTTCACTAAACTTCCTTTCCTATTCTCTGACCACTGCCATCATATTGATATTATACTAAGAGGTTTCTTTTTGTGTCTAAACGGAGTTAGTGCATTTCCAAACAGAGATTGATCAGATCAGAATTGAGAGCAAATGGGGAAAAGTTCTCAAAGCCTAGGCTCTTAATTCTGGTTTTTGGCTGGGCGTGAACTCCTTTGCCCAATTCTATTTTTCCTTTTCAGTTGCTAGGTCTACAAGAAACTTCTAAATTTTAGAACTTAATTACTTGCATGATACAAATTTAGAAATTAGAATATGGAAAGGAGAAAGTTTGAAGTTTCCTAAGAAATGAGAGTAAATAATATACTCAACTTTCTTTCTTTTAATTTGCCCATCCTCCATGTACATCCATAAATTCATCC